TATATATATATGTATATATATATATATATATATATATATATATATATATATATATATATATATATATATATATATATATATATATATATATATATATATATTTAACTGTGCGTGTGTGCTTTGTGTGTATGTTCTTGTGCATGTGCGTGTTTGTGTCTTGTCTTTCTGTCTGTCTGTCTGTCTGCCTGTCTGTCTGTCTGTCTGTCTGTCTGTCTACCTATCTGGCGTTTGATTAGCTACGTTAGTATTCTTCTTGGCTCTGCGTGTATATATATAAGATAGTTAGCGCGTCTCCACTTGTTTCCACGTAATTTTTAACGTATGCTATTTACGGAAAACGCGGGATTTGCGAGATACAGTGTGACCTGTGTTATGCGAGGCATGTGGGTTGCCGCTCGATATATTTGCTGTACGTGCGGTGTTTTCGCGTTCCTGTGGCCGTGGGTATAGTGCCACATTTGGAGAAGGACACCTCGAGTCATCGTAAATAACGAGGCGTAGGGAAATCCCTTGAAATCCTTGCCCTCAGCCCCCCCTCCCCCCCTCCCTCGTCCGCTTCCACACTCCTATTTCTCCATGTCTCCGCCCTGGCCTCTTGCTTCCCCTAGAACGAGTGCCAACGTGGTCCGCGGGTGCCAAAGCCATCCATTTCCTGGCATTCATAGATATAGCGAAGTAATCTCGACTCGGAGGCGGAGGGGTGGGAACGTCGAAATGCCGCAGGAAAGGGAAAAGAAAAAAAATGTATGAAAGTGTGTAAATGAGAAAAAAAGTGTGAAAACAAATAGAATAGACGATTAAGTAGAGGAAGCCGGGAGGAAAGGGAAAAGAAAAAAATGTATGAAAGTGTGTAAATGAGAAAAAAAAAAGTGTGAAAACAAATAGAATAGACGATTAAGTTGAGGAAGCCGGTTGGACGAAACCGTGAAGGGTGCCGAGTGTGTAGATTGTGTGTTGTCTGATGAATGGGGCTAAAGGGTGAGGGGAGGGGGAGGGGGGGTGAGTGAAGAGTGAGTGGCTTGTAGCGGTGGGTTTTAGGGTGTAGCATGGTGTGGGGAATGGTAAGGGTTGAAGGTACTGTTCGGTTGCTCGCGTGCCGTTTCTTAGATTAGGAATCAGCATATCAGACGTGAGTGAATCCTGATTCTGCTTAGCTTCGAAGAGGAATCGAAGGAAGCCATTTTTTAACACCTTTTGGAGACGATTTTGATATTGATAGGATTCTTTATTGTTGTGCAGATGTTGTAATCAGTATACATGTCTCAGAGTTACCGCATGTACGAGGGAGTGAGGGGTGTAGTTAGGCCTAGTGTATTGGCGTAGGCGTAGTGCAGGCCGCGGTTGAAGGCGCACAACCGGTCCCATGTGGTCGCGCCCTTTTCTGAGGGGAAAGACATACACACTTGCTCTTTCGTTTCTTTGTTCAAGACTTCTGTCTTCCGTTTGTTTATTTATTTATTTATCCATTTTTTTTTTGCTTGTGTTTGCGGTGAGAGAGGGTCAATAATTGACTATGTAAACACACGAATGAATTATTTAGTAAATAATTAGATGAATGGAATCATGAGTTAAAGGTGAATTAGTGAGTCGAATTAGTGATGTGAACTAGGGAGTCGAAAACCTGTGGTGGAGGGAGATTGTTGTAACCGTTAGGTTTGAATACAAATCTTGCACATGTGTAGGAAGACAGGTGTTCTTCCCCGCCGCGATGAGTGGGCAGGTGTTATGGCGATCTATTTTTACCCGCCGGTTCATGATCTCATCGGCCATCAGTGGGGCGTCGGACTCTTTTCTCTCTATGTTGTATTAAAATATGTGAGAGGTCATCCTTTTCAGTTTCATTATAATGATATGGATACCTAAGGCATGTTGATTGTTCAGAAAATTCACCTTTCAGTAATTCGTAGCAATTGCCGGTAGTGCCGCTACCTCAACCACTGTTTTTTTTACATGTTCATTTTTATAGTTCTTGACTCCTTTTTGCTTTAGTTCTGCCGAGTGGCTGGTCGATATCAGACCAAATTAAAGCATCACTTGCGAGCGAGGAAGTCGTCTGCAGCAGGGCGAGTAACGGCGGCACGCACATGGCTGCAACACGTTCACTCCACACAGGCGAAGCAGTAACGTCAACCTGTGTCTCGTGGCAGAATTTTGCAATCCTGTTGAGTGAGAGTGTGGGTCATTTTATATTGGTTATTGACAGTGTATGATAGTGGAGGGTGGGGTTATCAGCAAATCTACAGGGATCAGTTGTGTGAGGTTGTTAACCCTCGTGCAGAAACCGCGGTCACCGCAGACTCTATGTTAAGAAATGTTAAAGCATTGTGGTTGTGGTCACGCTGCAGCTTCCGGCACTCTCGGAGGAGAAGGGCGGGCGAGCAGAATGGCGGTGA